GGTCTCCCTGACTATTTAATATTTTCTCTGCCAATTTAAGCAACCAAGTAGGAACACCTAACTTACCTGCCCGACTGGTTTTGGCACCTGTAGAGACTGGTGAGGAGCTGTTACTGGTGTCCCCAGCCAGGGAGGTTCGGCTGGAGTGGAAGGTGGGGCGCTTCAGCTTGCTGCCGGCGGAGGGGGTCACCTTGGGAGGAAGCACACACAGAGCATCTTTTAGGGGTCACCTGGGCCGGGACGGGCCAACATCGCGTCCGAGCTCAGTACCTCAGCAAAAAGATTTTGACATTTAAAGAACACCCATCTTAATGGTCAAGGAGAACACAAGCTGTCGTTTCAGCAGCGGCTCATAAAAAAGAAAAAAGCCTGGATCCTGAAAATTTGGAGGGCGAGGGCAGTTTGTGTGCCGCAGGCTGATGCGCCGCTCTTTGTTGGAAAAAAAAATACAAGTAAAGCTGTTATCCACCCGGAGGAGGACAGCATCCACAAAGAGAATGCAAAATCTTGCAAAAATAAGTATTTTAGCACCTAAGCAGCTCAGGACCGTTTTGGAAGGTCAGATACAACGCAGTGTCTTGAGAAACGCATCCCGTTGTAGGGAGGCACCGGCGCAGGGCGATTCTGCGCGGTGGAGGGACAGCACCCCAGGGTGCTGGGCAGGCCCACGCACCCACCACCCACGGGCAGACAAATCCGAAGAGCGAGGCACCAGCAACGGAGAGAGACACAAAACACAGCACATCGGCTTCAGTCGCATCCTGAAACGGTGCTTTTCCTGACCTTTAAGATGTTGCAAACGGAGATGGCAGCTGGGGGGGGTGTGAAAGCAGCACAACAGGCAGCTCTGCTCCCGCTGCTGCGGAAGAAAAGCGAAGGGGCGAAGGGGAAGGTGCTGGGCAGGGCGAGGGCACCCGGATCCAGCTGGGATGGGCAGCTCCAGTTTCTATAAAGCAGCCAAAGTGCTGGGTTTGGGGCAGCGACTGCCCCTGTCCCCCCTCCCCGGGGCGTGGGGGGCACCCACCGTGCTGCAGGGAGGGCTCCAGCCCTGCTGCATCCCCGACAGATGCACGTTAACACCAGAGGGCATTTCCCAACGAGCTTTAAAGCAACAGCTGGAGAGGTTTCCCTCCATCCCCTGCCATTTTGTGATTTTTGGGAAACTTCGAAATCTTGAAATGTCACGAAACTGGAGCTGCGGCGGGGGAGAGAGGCGGCCGAGCAGCGGGCTCCCCTTCGGGTGCCGTGGGAATTAAAATCCATCAACGCGTGATTGCGAAGGTACCATTTTCATCATCAGAGATTTCGATTCTCATCCTCGATCCTATTGCAAGCAGGCAGTTTAGAGCAATTGGGGAAGCACTCCTGACCTTCTGATGATTTAAAATAATTCCTTTTCTGCGTGAAAGCACCACCGAGCAAGACACAGTTATCTCGCCAGCGCACACCACCGCTCAGTGAATCACCGAGATCTACCCGGTATTTCTCATCACCGATTCACAAGGTCAGGAAAGTCTGCGAGGAGGCTGAAACTTTAGGGAGGTCAAAGTCTCAGCCTGAATTCCTCCTCCTGGGACCTCAGGCCGGTGACAGTGCCGGACACACCACACGTGCTTCATCACGGCGATAAATACAAGGGCTTCATAAAAACGAAGGCGATGTGGTTACTGTGCATGCGCTGTAGCTGATTTTCAAGTCTCAACTCGGTTGTTGGATTTCAATTTTGGAAGCCAAACACGGCCGCTTTTCAACGCTTAAAAACAACTAAAGCTTAGAAAATGTCTTTTTTTTTTTTTTTTCAAAAGCCCAAGTGGATAAACGCCGCTCTCTTGGTTTGAAAGCAGGTAATCGTGAATTGCAAACCGTCGTGCTTTATTCTAAGGTCGGTGTTTTATTTAATCCGAGTTAGAAACCCATGAAAAACGCTAACAGTCCGAGCGTTAGCGGTGCTAACAAGCGCTGCTCTACCACAAGGAAAGCGTTAGAACAGGCAGGGGAGCAGGACTTCTCCGTGCCAGGGGCACTCCCGCCTGCCTGCAGGTCCTTGGGGCGGCGAGACCATACTCTACCTCGGCGCTCGAGAGCTGGAAGTCGGAATAATCGAATCCCCTCAGGGGGGTGCCCGCTTTACTGTTTATCAACCAGGGTTTGTCATAACATCGAGAGAAGTGATGTGGAGTCTGTGAAATGGAAAATCCAAGGAGGGGAGAGGTGGGAGTGAGTGAAAAAAAAAAAAAAGAAAAAAAGAAACAGAAAAGTCTCTGGAATGGGGGAATAGGGCACTAAAATGAAATGAGAACCAAACAGGAAATATAAAAATTAAAATAAAGGGAAAAAACCCAAACAGATGATGAAATAAAACACGCATGTGCAAACGATGTGGTGGGAAAGGAGAGCCGATGGGCGACGGCTTCTTCCTGCGCGCTGGCCAGACACAGCGGCTGCGGCAGAGCCCTGCCTCGGGGACCAGGAGCCTTCGGCTGCACGGCGAGCGCCGGGGACCCTCCTGCAGAGCCACGAGCATCCAGCCTGGGCTGAAAACCTGTCCTGCACCCTCCCAGCCCACCCATCCCACGTGGACAGCAGGGTTCTTCCTGCAGACACCACGAGCACCTTCTAGAGACCACAGTAACCATCAAGCCCCCAAGCCCCAGCCTTCCTCCTCCTCCTCCTCCGTACACCTCCTGCAGCTCCTCATCTCGCCGGGACGGGTTTGGAGGCCACCGGTTTGTAAAGGAGAGGAAAGAGGAAGGCTTCACGCGCGAACCCCACCTTGGCTCCGCTGGCCGGAGTTGCGGGAGAGGAGGGCATGGAGGCGCAGCTGTGGTTGCTCTGGCTGGCACTGGAACTGGATCGCGTCGGGGAGGCTGCTCGGGAGGATGGTTTCGATCTTCGGCCTCGCGATCGGAACGGTGTCATTCCCTGGGAGGCTCCCTCCGGCAAGATGAATTTCTCTCGGAGTTCAAGGTTGGTCCGTCCTCGTGCTGGAAGGGGATAAAGGAGAGGAGACCTGAGGTTTGCACAAACCCCACATCATTGCCAGGGCTCAGGAGGTCCGTGGGTGGGAGCGCGTGTCCTTGCGATGTCCCCCCAAGCCCACCTCCGAGGGCGAGCGGACGGCAGCGAGACCATCGCGGCTCTCTTGCTCTGCCTTAACCACCTCCTGCCACGGATCAGCGCTCTGAGAAACCAAAACCTGAATGAATTCACACTGGATGATGCTCTGTTATTCTCTTGTGTCTTGGGGAAAGCATCCTGATGGCCTTTACACACACCATGTTACAACAGTGGCCAACGTCATCTTTAATGTGGCTTAAAAACAGGAAGAGCAGCTTTGAAGGGCTGAAATTTTGCTTTCTCACAGCTCCGGGCAGCTCTTCACCAATTTTGGGGGAGAGGCGAGAGAGAAGCGACCACCACCCATTAAGAGCCAACTTTAATTCATCCAGACACCTCAAAGAGCTGGAGGGTCTCCCTTCGGCAAGCAAGGGGCAACCAAGCAGGCAGCAAGCCTGTGGACTTCAGCTCCTGGGCCGGCTGACATGTGCCAACGTGTGTCATGCTCACGGTGTTTGAACAGAGAGCAAGGGCATGCACCGAGCCTTACGGGGCATGGCAGCAACTTTAGAGTCGATGCATTATGGACCAGGAAGCCAAGAAAGCAACTGCAGAAGGGAAGCACCACGCCGAGATAACCACCTCGATGTCAGTGCTGCAGAACAGCTGCATGAACAGGGGAAGCCGGCGGAGCAGGAAAACCCTGAGGGCTCCCCAAAGCAAGCGGTACACGCCGTAAATCACGCTGCCTTCGGCAACAGCCGTCGGACAGCAGGAGCGAGGAACGGTTGGGAAGCATCTTGAAGAAGACATACCCCAAG